AATTCCACAGGATTCCTTGGAGGACCTGGATTTCTTACCCATGGAGTAATTCCACAGGATTCCTTGGAGGACCCAGAGCTCCACAATGGGATTTGTCGAGAGCACAAACGTTCCTTCAATTATCACCTCGTTAATTAATATTTTTAAAGCAGCAGCTTCCCAAAAATGAAGGGGAAAAGTTGGGGATTTCCACACCTTTTAGAGGGATGGGAAAGTCCTGGCTCAGGACTAAGAGTGACCCAGCTCAGAGCTGGGCTTAAATTCCTCTATGGAATACTAGGAGGAGGAAACCACTACTAAGTGTGGGAGAAAACCTAATATTCCTTTGAATTTAAGAGGAAAAATTTCCTACCATTCCTTTTTTTCCAGTGATTAACGACCCCATTTCATTTTCTCCCTCAAACTTCTCACTGAAAATTGCTGCAAATTAATATTTCCCCCCAGCCTAACTCTGATTTATTATTAATTTGAGGGGAGAGAAAAACGGCCACGTTTAGTGACAGGATTAAAGGGAATAAAACTTGAGCCTGAGTTGATTTTCCTGGAGGATTTTTATTCCTCAGTTTAGGGAGAAAAGGGCAGGGCAGAATTTTGGGTCCCTCCCGTGGGACTTTAAATCTTTCCATCGAGGATCCTGCTGCTGAAATAAATAGTTTTAAATTAAATGACATATTTTTTTTTTTTAATCAAAGATTTTAAGTTTCCTGAAGCTGGTTTTGGAAGCAAAGCTGGTTTGGATGGAACATGTTGAATGAATATATGATATATATTCATTATATCTATATATTCATTATATATATTATTTATAATATTATAAATATTATTATATTCATTATATCTATATATTCATTATATATATTATTTATAATATTATAAATATTATTATATTCATCATATCTATATATTCATTATATATATTATTTATAATATTATAAATATTATTATATTCATCATATCTATATATTCATTATATATATTAATTATAATATTATAAAGATTATTATTTCATTATATATTCATTATATATTATTTATAATATTATAAATATTATTATTTCATTATATATAATATTATTTCATACCAATATTATAAATAATATTATTTCATACCAACAGCTGCTGTTGGTATCAAAGTTCAGAGCTGCTGTTTCTTTACTCCAAGCTTTCCTTGGAATTTTTAGGAATGCCAAAAAGAAACCTGTAGCTCTGAAAATAAATATTTAAGGCACTAAAAGTTGGCCCTTTTTGTGGGTTTATTTCTTTTTTCACTCCCTTTCCTTCACAGCAGCAAAACCACTTTTACTTCATGTAACCTGAAGCATTTTTCTACCAGCACTTTTCAGTTTTGTCCAGTTTGGAAAGTCTTTTTGTCTCTCTGATAACACCAGTGTTCTGGTAAGCTTTCATAGCCCTAAACAGAGAGAAAAACTCATTATAAAATTTCCTTGCCTGCCTCTTAAATCCTCCAGTTGGGTGGAAAACCTCGGGATAACAGAGAAGGTTTGAAGGATTAAAGTCCTTAAAAAAGTTGTACTTTTTCTCCTCCTGCATTTTGTGCATGTGTATCCTTGGTCTTCTAAAGTAACTCGGAGTTATTTTCTAGAGTTTCTCACGAGCTTCTGGAAATTGGGGAGATTTAAAGTATTTATTATCCCAGATTTCCCTCTAGATGTGTAAATACATGTATTTATATTTGTTTTTATTGGCACTGCTTTTCCAGCAGGCACATGTATTTTTCCATGTATTTTTCAATTGCCATGGCAGTGTTCCTCCAAGAAATCTGTAAAAGTTGGCATTTTTCCTTCATCAACTAAATTCTATTAACAGCAACAGTTTAAGATTATTAAAAACATGTCTTTTTCCACATAATACTGCACTCTTTGAACTCGGCGCTCACTAAAACCCTTCGGGGCGGTCGACGTCTCATCAGCTTCGTGCAGTTTTATTTTTACACCTTAAAAACCTCCCAAACTAAATTTTTATCACAGAATCCCAGAATCAGCTGGGTTGGAAGGGACCTCTGAGATCATCAAGTCCAACCCTTGATCCAACCCCGCCGTGGTTCCCAGCCCATGGCACTGATGCCACATCCAGTCTGTCCTTAAACACCTCCAGGGATGGAGAATCCACCCCCTCCCTGGGCAGCCCATTCCAATGGCTGAGCACTCTCTCTGCAAAGAAATTCCTTCTAATCTCCAACCTAACCCTCCCCTGGCACAGCTGAAGACCCAGCCCTCTTGTCTTGCTGATGGTTGCCTGGGAAAAGAGACCAACCCCCCCCCTGGCTCCCCCCTCCTGTCAGGGAGTTGCAGAGAGTGAGGAGGTCTCCCCTGAGCCTCCTCTTCTCCAGGCTGAGCCCCCCCAGCTCCCTCAGCCTCTCCTCACAGCACTTGTGCTCCAGTCCCTTCCCCAGCCTCGTTGCTCTCCTCTGGACCTGCTCCAGCCCCTCCATGTCCTTCCTGAGCTGAGGGCCCAGAACTGGACACAGCACTCCAGGGGTGGCCTCACCAGCGCTGAGTCCAGGGGCAGAATCACTTCCCTGGCCCTGTTGGCCACCCTGTTCCTGAGCCAGGCCAGGATCCATTGGCCTCTTGTCCCCCTGGGCACACTCTGGCTCCTGTTCAGCTCCCTGTCCATCCCCACTCCCAGCTCCCTTCCTGCCTGGCTGCTCTCCAGCCCCTCTGGCCCAGCCTGGAGCTGCCGGGGGTTGTTGAGGCCAAAGGGCAGGACCCGGCCCTTGGCCTTTTAATGTAAATCTGCTTTCAAGCAATTCTTTATATTAAGACAAACCCAGCGTTGAACTCAGCGCTCACTAAAACCCTTCGGGACGCTCGACATCCCATCGACCTCATTCATCAACCTCGTGCAATTTTATCTTTACACCTTAAAAAAACCTCCCAGACTAAATTTTTTTTAATGCAGAATGGAGGCTTTTTAATCCCATTTTTGGGGTGTTTTTTTTGTTGTTGTCCTGCAGGTGACAAGTACGAGCTCCACGCGGCCACCGCCACCACCCCCAGCGTGGTCGTGCACGTGTGCGAGAGCGACCGGGAGAGCGACGGCGGCGACGAGGAACCCAAAAAGCCCAAACCCAAAATCATCCAGACCAGGAGACCCGATTACACCCCCGCCCATCTCAGCTGAGCTGCTGCTGCTGCTGGGTTTGGGTTTGGTTTTTTGGGGTTTTTTTTCCCAGTAGGAAACTTCCCAGGGAAAAAAAAAAAACCACCCCGTTGGGTTTGGCGGCGGCGCTCGAGAAATTCCCCGTCTGAGAGAAAAAATAAAGGAAGTTTCATCCCGATTTTTTTTGAGGCTGCAAGTTGATCCCTGGGTGTATTCCCAAAATCGCTGGGAGAAGATGATATTTGCAGACAAACCAAGACAAAAATAGGGTTTCTTTTTGGGGGGTGAAGGAGCTTTTCCTTGCCTGACTCTTAAATCCTCCGGTTGGATGGAAAAACCTCGGGATAACAGAGAAGGTTTTAAGGATTAAAGTCCTTAAAACTCAAAAAAAAAAGTACTTTTTCTCCTCCTGCATTTTGTGCATGTGTATTCTTGGTCTTCTAAAGTAACTTTTGAGTTATTTTCTAGAGTTTCTCACGAGCTGGAAATCGGGGAGGTTTAAGGTATTTATTATCCCAGATTTCCCTCTAGATGTGTAAATACATATATTTATATTTGTTTTTTATTGGCACTGCTTTTCCAGCAGGCACAAAATCCCTTCAGCCCCCCTGATTTAGGTGCTGTGGGGACCAGTGCTTTTAAAAATGTTCACCTTTGAAATGCCTCCAGTGGGGTTTTATCTGGCAAAGCAATGGGAAAAAAAAAAAGGTGCAACGGGAGACTTGCTGAAATGAATGGATTTTAAATTATTTAAGTTCTGATAATTTATATCTTCAATGACATTTGGTAGCTTTGACTTGGGGAGGGGGGGTGGGAAAGGACTTTTAAGGGTATAAATAAGGCTAATGGTGCATATTCAGAATTTTTTCAGTGATGGAGGGACTTGAATCTGCGTTTTTTTGTGAGAAAAGGTTGAATGGTGATTGTAAAATTACAGGGAGGAGAGATGGTGCCTTTGCCTTGTCCATTCCTACTACAAGCTGCACACTTGGATCTTTTTCTACTGGCTTTGTACATCCAGAACTCCCAAACTTTCTTAGCTTTGCCTCCAGACTGAGCTGGTGTGAAATGCTTTAATGCCAAGTAATGCACATTTAAATCATGGCAGTGTGTGGGAGAAGCTTTAGGGGTTTTTTATATGTTCCAGACAGTCCTGATAATTAATCCCAATTCCAAGGCAAAAAAAAAAAACCAAAAAGATGAGAGAGAAATGTATTTTATTACTTGTTTTTTTAAAACTGGAGATCCTCACCTTGAAACAGGTATTTTTTTGGGAAGAGATAGGAACTGATTTTTGTGGAAAATGTCACTTATGGGTCTTAGGAAGTCTGTTGGAAAGTTTTTAGGAATCCAAACGTGGTTCCCTCCTGCTCTGCTTTTGCCACAGTTGGTCTGAGAAGGAGTTTGAAGCAAATATTGACTTAAACACCCTTGTTTTCTTTCAATAATACCTGTTTTAAAACCGAAGATGTGGAATGGAGCCATCCCAAGCTGGGAAACAAGGACTGGTGAAACGGAAACCAGTGACTGGAGAACAGGGATATGTGGAATTTTCTGCTCTGGTTTGGATCACTGTTCCCTGGAAACTGGAAGAAACCCTGATCCTTGGTGTTAAAAAGAGCTGATTCCGTGTCCTGCTGGAGCTCTTGGATGGACACAGAGGAAAAATCAGGTTATTTTGGGGGTACAACATCCAGCTGGGGCCATGGCCTGCCTACCAGCCCCCAAAAGAAAGGAATCAAGCAGGTTTGCCACAACTGCCTTTAAACCTTTCCAAGATTTTTTTTCCCCACGTTTCTCCAGTTCCTGCTGGACTCAAGTGTCTCATCCAGTTGAAAAATGGAAGAATTCCCGTCCTTTTTCACCCACGGCAAATCCCAACACGACTTCTCCATCACAGGGAGCTGCTCTTCTGTTCCCTAAAAAAACCAACTGTGCTGCTTTTTCAACTAAAAACCACCAAAATCCCTGATTTTTAACCATTTCCTACGCCCAGAAAGTGGCCACTGGGAAAGCCTGGAAATCTTGGGATGGTGACAGCGTGTTCCTGGTTGTGTCTCCTTGGCTTTTCCTCTTCCTTTTTTCTTTTTAATGTTCAACTGAATGCTTGGTTGGTATTTTCTACAGTTGTATAGCACGGGGCATATTTAAATTAAAATATTTTGGTTGTCTTTCTTGTAAGTTGTCGTGGTGTTTCTGCACAAAAATCACACCAAAAATTGGGATTTTTAAGCTTCCAAACAACTTAATTTGCAAAGGGGGGGGGGAGGATCTATTGCCAGGTCACATCCTTAATAACCAAATAAATCTATTCCTGGAAAAGCTTTCCAGCCTTTTGCTTCCCATGATCTCGGTGGAAGGGTGAGAATCTGCTGATGAATAAAATGCAGAATATTCCGGTTTCAAAATTGCTCCTTCTGTGCCTGAAGCTGCTTCTGAATAAAGGGATCGACCTCATAGTGCTTTAAATAATCCCTGTGCAGCCATAATGTGTATTTTATAGATAGAAAATTAATAATTCCGGGGATTTGCCCCCCAAAATGGTGGATTCCCCATCCCTGGAAGTGTCCAAGTGACATTTGGAGCACCCTGGGCTGGTGGGAGGTGTCCCTGCCCATGGAAGGGGTGTCTCTGGATGGGCTTTGAGGTCCCTCCCAACCCAGACCAGTCTGGGATTCCATGATTTTTGAGCTCCTGCAGTCTGGAAATCCATGTTTAACTGGCTTTGCCTGTAGGTGCTGAGCCTGAAGTTGTGGTTTCTAACCCGAGTTTTATTTTCCAGAGCAGCAACAAGTGGAGTCTCTTTGCCTTTGGAAATCATGGAAGAGTGGGATTGTTCTCCCTGTGCATCCAGGGTGGGGAGGGGAAGGACTCCAGCAGCTTCTTCTCCAACCTTTGGAACAGTTCCAGCCAAACCATTGGAACACTTCCAACCTGGATTTTCCCCTGGGCACAATCCCTGCTCTGCCAACTCCAAATAACACCTTGGGGAAGACAAACCCGCCCTCTTTGCTTTTATCCTGCCTTGCCCAACGTGCTTTTTGCCAAAAAATACACCTTTTAAATGCTTTTTTAAATTTTTTTTTAATTTTTAATTCGTGAACTGGCTAAAAAAGAAACCAAACCAACCACTGTTAAAGACCTTCCCCGAGATACTCTTAAAATTTTGACACTGAGCTTTCAAATCGCATCAAATTTTCAATATTTCCAGTCAAAGCAAGGCCCCAGGGGTGACTCCAGTGCCAACAGGGGACAGCACGGAGGTGGCAGGGCCCGATTTATCTTCCCTTGATGGAATTTCCATGGATAAAGTGGCGACTGTCACACTTCAAACCCCTCATCGCCTCGAGCTGGGCGTGTTTTGGTGCCACTGAAGTGGGGCCAGGAATTCAGTTTGGTTGGAGCGAGTCCAGGGAAGGGAAGGGAGCTGGGAAAGGGTCTGGAAAACGTGAGGGAGCTGGGGGGGTTTGTCTGGAGAAGAGGAGGCTCAGGGGGGACCTCATTGCTCTCCCCAACTCCCTGACAGGAGGGTTGGAAGGAGGAGAGGAAACGGCCTTAAATTGCCCCAGGGCAGGTTCAGATGAGAAATTAGGAACACTTTTTCCCTGCAGGAGTGGTCAGGCCTTGGAATAAGTGTCCCAGGGAGGTGGTGGAGTCCCTGTGTCTGAGGTGTCCCAGAGGTGTCTGGATGTGGCCCTTGGGGACATGGATTGGGGGTGATCCTGGTGGTGCTGGGTGAGGGCACTGGATGATCCTGGAGGTCTCTCCCAACCCTGGTAATTCTGGGATTCAGAGAACTGACAGTCCAAGTCCTGTTCCAGAAAGACACAAACCAACAGAGAGAAAGAAGGGATCAGAAATATGAGGTTGCATCTAATTTATTTTTTTCTGTACGATCTCCTCAGAATCCCAGACTGGTTTGGGTTGGGAGGGACCTCAAAGCTCGTCCAGTCCCACTCCCTGCCATGGGCAGGGACACCTCCCACTATCCCAGGTTGCTCCAACCCGGCCTTGGACACTTCCAGGGATGGTGAGTCCTCAACCCCTCTGGGCAGATACTTCATGGAATCATCTTTTTGTCCATATTTTGGAAGCCCCAAAACTCCCCGAGCACCCCGGGTTGTGTCTGGATGTGGCCCCTGGGGACATGGATTGGGGGTGATCCTGGTGGTGCTTCTACGGCTGATCCTGAAGGTCTCCTCCAACCTCGATTCTGGAATCAGAGCCTCCGAACTTTTACTAAATGCTTTAATTCCAAGGATTCCCGGAGCTCCGTGGAGGTGCCCGTAGGTGGAGCTAAATATCCACCAACAGCAAACTGGAGCCTCACAACTCAAACCTCCAGCTCAGGCTCCCACCCAGGGGTGGAAAAGATCCCTCAGGTCCCTTCCAACCCAAACCATTCCGTGGTTTTCTGATCGTACCTTTGCAAACTCTGTTTTCTTCTTAATTCTTCTTATTTTAAAGGAGCCCCCTGGGCCACACCGAGGGAAAACTGGCTGGTTCCAGCTGGAAAAGGGGAAGTTCAGGTGCTCAGCTCCCTGTAGCCCCTGGATAAAGTGATGCTAATTCCCAGGGTGTATTAATTTATGGATAAAATCATCCCAAATGATGCCTTAATTTGATTTATTGTGAAGAGAACCAGCTACAGTGTTCACCCTGGAGAAGGGAAAGCTCCAGGGAGACCTTAGAGCCCCTTCCAGAGCCTAAAAGGGGTTGTAAAAAGGAAGGAGAGGGGCTTTTTCCAGGATTGGAGCTGAACTGGGCAGGATTGAGCCTCGTGGTGATTAAATTAATGATCCACTTACTGATGTTCTTTGAGTTGGGAAAATACACGACTCGACAAAAAGCAGGTTTTTCCTCCTCTTGTTTTCCACTTTTTTGGATTTTTGAGCACTCTGAGGGAATCTTTCAGACTGTAAATCCCAGCAAATCCCAGGAAAGCCTGGGATTCCGTTGGGTTTATTCACTTTGACAGTGCTAAACCACTAAAATGAGATTCCTAAATCACTCAACAAAAACCCCGAAGCAATTTGCTGAGTAACTTTTCCAGGTCCCTTCAGCTCTGGGAGCTGCCTCCTTTCCATTAGGGAATGGAAACTTTGATTCCAGCTTTAATTCCAGCTGCAAAGCAGCTCCTGAAGAAGGCAGGGCAGGATTCCTGGGGGTTCCAGCAGGTCCTGGCTGAGGAGCAGCTCCAGCGGCTCCTGCTGCTGCAGGAGGGTGGTTTGGCAGCTGGAATGGGTGGGATTAAAAAGCAGGTGGAATTTCCCTTGGCTCTGGAAATCCCTCTGGCAAACTGGGCCGGGTGGGAGAGGCAGCAGCGAGAACTTCCCATCCTTGGCAGCATCCAGGGGGTTCCAGAGCCTTCCAGGGTCGTGCTGGGCAGGGGAAAATCAGCAGGGGCTGGAGCAGCTTCCCCGGGGAGAAGGGCTGGGAGAGCTGGGATTGTTCAGCCTGGAGAGGAGAAGCTTTGGGGTGACCTGATTGTGGCCTTGCAGGACCTGAAGGGGCTCCAAGAAAGATGGAGAGAGACTATTTCCAAGGGCTGGTGGGACAGGACAAGGGGGAATGGCTTCAAAGTGACAGAGGGGAAATTTAGGTTGGAGAGATGGATCAGAGAGCAGGAAAGCAAAACACTTCCATACCTTTCATTTCAATTGAGCATCACTGGAGAGGGATGTTGGACAAGGGATGGAGGGATGGGACAAAGGGAATGGCTCCCACTGCCAGAGGGCAGGGATAGATGGGATATTAGGAAGGAATTCCTGGCTGGGAGGGTGGGGAGACCCTGGCAGAGGTTGCCCCTGTATCCCTGGAAGTGTCCAAGGCCGGGTTGGCCGGGGCTTAGAGCAACCTGGACTAGTGGAAGGTGTCCCTGCCCATGGCAGGGGGTGGCACTGGATGGGATTTAAGGTCCCTTCCAACCCAAACCATTCTGGGATTTTGTGACACCTGAGAAATTCCACCCCTGTGTAACATCCCGCTCAGATCCATCCTCCAACCTTCACTTGGAATTAGGAATAATTTGGGAACACTGGAAACTATTTTGATCATAGAATGATAGAATGAATCATGGAATCCTGGAATGGTTTGAGCTGGAAGGGCCCTGAAGGATCATCCCATCCCACCCCCTGCCATGGGCAGGGACACCTTCCACCAGCCCAGGTTGCTCCAAGCCCCGTCCAACCTGGCCTTGGACACTTCCAGGGATCCAGGGGCAGCCACAGCTTCTCTGGGCAACCTGGGCCAGGGCCTCCCCACCCTCCCAGCCAGGAATTCCTTCCCAATATCCCATCTATCCCTGCCCTATCCCAGCTGGGGTTTTGCAGCATCAGCCGAAGCAGCTGAAACTCGTCTCGGTGGTGAGTTGAGTCACGGGAGCGAAACGGCGCCTTCTGCTTCCCCCTCCCCCTGGGCAGGAGGGGACAGCTCTTGGGGTACAGGGAGTTATCCTTGGATAAAGGAGCATCTCCAGCGCTGGAGCAGCTCTGGGTGACTCAGCAGGACAGAGGATGGCGTTTGGTGCCAAGGAGAGGAGCGGTGCCAGCGCCGGCCGCCCGCGCCAGCCCCCTTCCCGCTCGCCACCCCCTGAGTCCAGCCCGCAGGAAGGACAATTCCCAGAACCCAGATCGATCCCTGGCTGCCCTGGGGTATAAAATATCGATTTCCAGGAGGATTTAATTCGTGAAGTGTTCCGGGAAAGAGCTCTGAGAGCTCCCTCGGACTTCCCGAGCCGGGAGCTCAGCCCTGGCTCGGGGCTGTTTCAGGACGCCCTGCTCGCGCTCAGGGATTTCTTCCTGGCCTTTCCAGAGCCTTCTCCCACCTCTGAGTGTCTCTGCTCAGCCTGTGGCTGGAGGCAGAGGCTTCCTGGAGCCTGATGTTTGCAGAGGACAAGCCCCAGTGTGGGCTTTGGAGGACAGTTAATCCCAGTGTTTGATTAATCCCAGTGTTTGATTAATCCCAGTGTTTGATTAATCCCAGTGTTTGATGAGTCCTTCCCTCCCCCAGCCCTCACCTGGGATCTGCCCAGGAGCCCCCAGACCTTGTTTCCCTGTCAACCACCTCGGACATGGGAACTGGGCTGTGGATGGAAGGAGCCCCAAAATGGCTCTGACAGTGGGTCAGGTCTGTGAGGGAGCCAAGGGCAGGGAGATCAAGTGCCAGATGCATTTTGGGAA